TGTCGTCATGATGACATCACACACTTTTCAAAATTTTGTGCAATACCTATTACCTAACGAACATAATACAAAAAGAATTTTGAATTTTGCATTGTTGCATTCCTGAGATATGGCTAAAATGTCCAAAAATTCAAATATTCATATAAAATCCCATGATGACATCATCATCACGTCACCTCATTTTTTACCTATAACACATCCCGGTCTACCCACATACCCAGTTTTAACCGAATCGGACTTACAGTTCTGTAGATATGGGACTTCAAAATATGCACGTTTGTGATGACGTCACGTGATCCATAATGACGTAATCATGACGTCACCCTTCAGGACACAACTTTGCTATAACGACAATGCATATGCTTAATTTGAAAGATGTACAACAAAGATCAATGCCAAAAGTGGCGTGTACTAAAATCATGTACAAAGTCTATGGGATTTTGCATGGAACAGAAAAGAAGAAAGTATTTTTTTTTTTTTTTTTAAATCAGAACAAAAACGAAGGCTTTTTCGCAAATTTGCAAAAAAGCCAACTAGAAATGTGTTTGTCATGTGGACAAACACAGCTGTTTCAGCTGTTTGAAATGACTCTGTGACTTGAGATGACATCAACCTGATGTCATTAACTTTCATGTACATGTATAACACATAACACTATAACACTAAGTAACAACTGAATCAGACCTTTAGTTCACAAGATTTAGGCCTCAGAAAAAGCCCCTTTAATGTGCCGTCACATGTGACGACATAGCCATGACGGCTTTTTAATTTTTATCTATAACAAATCCTGCAGCCGATTTCACGAAGATGTGCGTAGCTTGCGCCATGCGCAAAACTTACGCAACAAATTTGTTGCGCAGCTGCGCAATAAAGTTATGATCGATTTCATGAAACTTGGCGTAGCTGTGCAACGTTTTAAATAATTTAAACATCTTGGACGAGGTTAAAAACCAGCATTTACAACGGCTGTTTGTGTGTGAATGTGTTCTTCAGCGAAACAGGCGTTGGATCACCTCAGCCCACCATTTTGAAAATTATTTTGTCCGACCCTCTTCGGAATCGTTCGGCAACTCTAAAAATTATGTTACGAGTAAAATAGAAATTCATTTACTTCAAACATCAAGTTGTGAGTGTCTTGTATCAACCTTGTTAAGTTGTGCAATAGCAGGCTCTACCACAGTGCCAATTTGCTGGTAAAATATGTCATTTTCAGTCGCTACGCCACAACTTACGCCACCTAAAATAAGGCCGGCTGTTGCGTGACTGAAAGTCTCCCAAATTCGCGTACACTTCGCCTAAAAAATCTCACCACCTTTTATCCTCCAAAAACAGACAACTTTTTGCTGTCCCAACGCCCGTAAATATTCTTTGATGAAAACAAGCACCTGACGCACGTGTTGAGCTGCTGTGTACAGTGTGTAGTCCAAGCACAACACATGCAACGTACGTACGGGATAGAATGTCACGAAAGTGAATCACACCATTTACCGTCTAGGGGTGTACCATGTTCTTTTTTAAGAACAATTTACCAGCATTTTCCACGTTTCAAAATTAAAGATAATACTCTTTATAAGGTCCAAAACATTTCCTTGTCCGAAACTAAGTTCTTCATCATCACAATATATTTTTTTTTAAAGAGTCTATTCGAGAACCGGTGTAAAACTCAAAAAAGGGGGTAAAACACCCCTCACGGTATCAATGGATGATCCGAAATATCATGGAGAAGTTGTCAAATGTTTCCGAAGAAAGTTGCGATCGAAAGTTGGATTTTTGACATTACAAGGTCATTGCTGTAAATGACAATTTGATAAGTTTGGTAGTTAATCTTTTTACAAGTTTAAAAGAGACCAGGGGCACGTTTTGGCGCTGTGACCGTAAACATGTTTCTGGTACGCGGCCGTTTTGGCGCTTCGGTTACACTGAAATGACGTCATTGTTTCGACCAAAGTTGAACCGAAGTTTCCGGTCGGTTCACTTATGTTTCAAGATGGCGGAAAGGTAAACAAGCCTAGCAGACGTCGTTACTTTTTATCATAAATGGGGTTTAAATAGTGGGTTTTTACCTTCAATTGGTACGAAAGTTGATACAGAATATCAGCCCTACTCTTTTCAGAACTTTTGGGAAACGCTATAAAAAAAACCTCCCACTTTTACTTTGAATGTTATTTTTAATCATGTTCGGTCGCTGTGTGATTTTTTGGGGTTGTGTGCAGTCACGTAGGCAGTAACATGACGTCATGAACAATTTTCCGGTCAGTCGTTTTCGCGGTGCACAGGAAACATGTTTCAGGTCACGGCTGTGATGTCAGAAACTTGTTCCAGTTCAAGGGCCGCCAAAACGTGCTCCTGTTTTTTTTTAAGGTGGCTCCGACAATGCATACTGGAAAATTTGATGGTAGTTCGCCGGGCCGCCACAGCCCAGAAGCGCAGCGTGGGATGGCCGAGTGCTGGGCCAGGCTGGTCAGGCGCGCGTCGCGCCAGTGATAGGAAGGGATGGATAGCAATTCTCGATGTTTATTTCTCATCATTAATGTCATCATCTAGGCCAGCATGTACAATTTTTTACGGTGTATTTTTATGCCCCGCGGCGAAGCCGAAGGGGCATACTGTTTCCGCCTTGCCCTTCCGTGGGTGGGTGGGTGTGTGTGTGTCCGGACAAATCTTGTCAGTGCGATAACTTGAGAAATACTTAACATATGAACTTCAAATTGGTTTGTGTATTGTTCTTGGTAATCCTAACAACCCTTTTGCATTTGGGGCCGAAAGGTCAAGGGTCAAGGTCACAGTGACTAAAACAAAAGAAATTTTGTCAGCGCGATAACTTGAGAAATACTTAACATATGAACTTCAAATTTGGTTTGTGTATTGTTCTTGGTAATCCTAACAACCCTTTTGCATTTGGGGCTGAAAGGTCAAGGGTCAAGGTCACATTGACTAAAACAAAAGAAATTTTGTCAGCGCGATAACTTGAGAAATACTTTACATATGAACTTCAAATTTGGTTTGTGTATTGTTTTTGGTAATCCTAAGAAGCCTATTGCATTTGGGGCCGAAAGGTCAAGAGTCAAGGTCACAGTGGCTGAAAAAATAGAAATTTTGTCAGCACGATAACTTGAGAAACACTTTACATATGAACTTCAAATTTGGTTTGTGGATTGTCCTTGGCAATCCTAAGAAGCCTATTGCATTTGGGGCCAAAAGGTCAAGGGTCAAGGTCACAGTGGCTAAAACAAAAGAAATTTTGTCAGCGCGATAACTTGAGAAATTCTTCACATGTGAACTTCAAATTTGGTTTGTGGATCGTTCTTGGTAATCCAAATAGGCCTATCGCATTGGGGGTCGGAAGGTCAAGGGTCAAGGTCACAGTGGCTAAAACAATACAAATCTTGTATTTATTCTTAAATCATAGGGATTAGGGATTAATTCATATAAAACCTGCAGAAGACACTAATGTTGTCAATGAACGTTCCATGTGACCAAGGTACGGTACGTGTAAGTTGATGTTAAAAGAGTGGTGTTATGTCATGGGAACAGTCACGGTTGCGGGGCATTTGTGTTTGTAAACACACCTGACTTGTTTACAAATATTGTTAACAAAACTTCCTTCTTCAAATCGTGTTGTAGCATGCGGGAAATTGCAATCGCCGATGAGTTTTTTTTCTGTAAGAGATCTGTGCAACCATGTACGATATGAATCTTATGATTATTTTACATTTGCCTTGCCAGCTATCTGTACTGCTGATGTTTTACAAACTTAAAATCTGAACTACCTATTCTTGAAATTGAAACTGGACTGAATTAAAACCAAGAACAATTCTGGAAAAATATGTAAGGGCCAAAAAACTGCAAATTACATGCAAGAAAAGGGAAAAAACACAATAATAAGGAGGACAGCATATAATTTAAATTTCATAGTCATGACTCGTGAGATGGCTTACTAGCAAATTTGTGTTAGGGTGCAATGTACTCAAAAATATGTCTTATTACTCCTCTGTTTTAGTTTGATTTTGATAACAGTGTTACAGTGAGTTCAAATTTGAATTCAATGTATAGTTAAACAAGTTGAAATGCCAAAGGGATTTGTTCTGGCATTTGAATTTTGATAACTAAAAAGCTTAGCTTTTGACAAAACAGGTAACTAATAAGTAGCACCAGAAAGCATCCTAGCAACAATGTACAAATTGTACAAAACAAAAAATGCAGATGAAAATGCATGGTTCTCAACTTTGAGTACAGAAGAAACTTTATAAGAGCAAGAGTAATTGAAACAAATCAAATAAAACTTATTATAATTAAATTTGCAAAAAAGTTCTGCTCAAAAATGTCAAAGGGAAGTGGCCAGGAATTGCCTCAGATTGCAGCACGAGCATCTAGAATCCAAAATTTTCCCATACCCTTAGCGACCCTGAACCCATGCCGTAAACGGCTTCAAGCTACATGCTTGCTGGTCCAATCACATCCTTGCATTCAGGAGGGAAATGTACTCATGTTAAACTTAATGAATACTCAGGGATTTCATGCAAATTGTATTGTGTAAAAAACTGCTACACAAATTATGTGAATTGCTAAACAAAAAAAATATTGCATAGCAGTGTTTGCTCTACAAACATTTTAAGGAAATCGAACACTGTGCCCAGTACGTGAGGATTGTGAACGTTCAACCAATAAAATGGTGCTGGCCCTGGATTTCATAGTCGTCAAAATTTCTTGTAACACTGGAAAAGTGTTTAAGACCAGCCAGCCATGTCTTTATCAACCATTTAAAACCAGCCACGTGACAGGCTCTCCACCAATAGGAATGGGCAAACTGTCTTAGGTATTTATGAAGGCATCTTGAAGGCCTGAAAGACATGTATGTTTAATGATCTCAACAACTTCAATTCGGGGTGACTCCTGGCCTCAAAGAGCCATGTAAACGAGTTACCGAAACATCAATGTAAATTTCTTATCTGAAAGCAAGAATTAATCTTTTTGTTCTTTGCCAATTGTTCTCCAAACAGATGTGTGAGCTGAAGAATGAGAAGAATGCTGCAACAATGACCAATGAAGTTGTCTGCTACCCGCTTCAGACTTTCTATGGTGGGCCAACTATGAAGGTACTGACCCGGTCTACTCTCTACCAAAGCCCAGAACGGCCTGATCAGCTCTATGCCTGCTCAGGTGATGAGGCCACATCATCCGTGAGTACACCCATTACATTGCATTTACCCTAACCCTGCCAGATGCATTAGTTGTAAAATTGAAGTCCCTGAGACTTTGCTGCATTGTACGGTCAACACCACTATATCCTGTCGCAGTGGCAACCAGGTACCCTGAGGATCTCGATTTCAAATCAAAAGTTGCCGAGTCATGTTTTGAATTGGGCTGAATTCAGTGCCCGAGACACGTTCTCACTGAGCCGATTGCAGCTACGCGGTGTCACGCACTGAACCGACGAATGGTAGCAACCGAGCCTGCGTGTGCGATGTGTCAACGCTTGCAAGCGCTTCGCCGATTAAAAAAACGAAGTACTAATGGACATTTTCAACGATGCATCTTAGATGCATCTTTAGACGCATTGTTGGAAAGGCCTTCTTTCATTGATTTCTTCAAAATGACAGCATGCCAGAAGGAATAATTACACAGTGAGTTTAGTCCCATTACTATCTTTAATCCGAGTATGTTTTTCAACTATAATTACATCAGTTACTTTTTGGATAGCTGCAAATGATGGATTGTACCGGTACCTTTAATCAATTACACTGGACACCAGGAAAGGCTCTTCACTTTGACAATTGTTGTTTGTTGTTTGCCCATAAAATAACCATGAACATATTAAGAAAGGAAGAGGGGGAAAAAGTACATGTATGAAAACAAAAAGGCCAAGGCCAGGAACGTTTGGGTGACACGTTGTAGCTTGAGTGGCAGCTGTGACCATTCCAATTGCTGTCAGCTGTGGTGAGATCCATGGCACTTTGTAGCTATTTCAAAGAAAGTCACTTGCAAAGCTGTGATAGACAAGTGGCATGGAAACAATATAATACACCCAGATAGAGGGCCGAGTAGTAAACTGTCCACCAACCCACCAACAGCCAACCACCAACATAGCAAGAGCAGCCCCACAGTGTGTTTAGATGCCGCTGTCACATGAAAATCCGACTCCTATGAAAATCAGACCCCTTTTCCCTTTGATTGGTTAATCCCTCTCACGTGGGCGGTCACTTTCCTAATTATCATACTTACGCATGCGCAGTATTACCAATGAGTCCGATTTTCATAGAAACCTAAATTCACGCTACACCGCCATGGGAAAAAGGGAATCAGTAACCTTAATGCTCAATATGTTTTTCTACATTGTAAATTGTAAATTCACACTAGTACCAGTATAGGGCTCATATTCATTTTCCCTGCTAGGAACTTATGGAGTTGGACAACTGTCCAATATACTCTAATCGATTACAAGATATGATTTTTGTCTCATTTACTCCTATAAATCAATTCCCATATCGGTACCTCTTTCTTTTTTTGTTCGTCGTGTATTTGGGCGTTCCGTAAATGTTATGATCTGAGGTCCTTTTTTTCTTTCGGCAAAAGGGATATATAATCTGTATTTACTAAGGCACATGTACATGTTCTTGCTGCAGATCCTCCTTCATGGAGAGACTGCTGCAAAGCCTCAGTTTTGTCACTGTTTAGTTTTAGCATATTGGTGGCCATCCAATCCTATTTTTGGAAAATGCACATATTGCTTGTGAGACAACTCATTAAACTGGTATCTCCCCCAATTTGCTGTGTGGTCGCTGAATGCAACAGCACTCACCCCCACAACACCTCAACATTGGTCTTGCGTTTGCGAAGAGTTCCCATACATTTCAGCTTGGAACATGATGACTCCTTTGTCACTGTGAAGTTACAGTATTTTGTGAAGTCCCAGCTGTATTGAATACCTAAACTACCCAATCATTGTGGAGGGCACTGCCCCAATGATCAATAGTTCCCGCCCAGATATTTATGACTTAACCCAGTTCCCAAACCTGCAGTTCCGTGGGATTAATATTCCAATTAGCCTTGGTCAAGGCGTTCATCGTTATTTATCCGTACGCAGTAAACGATCGGCAGCATATCCTGGCCTTGCAGTGCATTAGAAATACAGTGCGAACAGGGACCTCATACGGCCACTATTTTATGCAAATCATTTGGATCCCAACGAACGCCCTGGTCCAATCGTCCACGAAAGCAAATGGTTTTCTTTATTTTGTGCTACATTTCCAGTGCACGACCTCATGTGAATACAGATAAGTGTAGGTAGGGCTAATATGTTGAGTGTCCAATCACACGTTGGTAAATCTCAACGTCATCAAATCATTTGCAGCTATTCGCCCTTTGCGAAGGTGTCAGAAGCCACATTTTTTGTGCAATGGTGGTGTGAATAATATAAGCTGCGACATAGACACACAACGTGTGTGTATGTATTATGTACAGTACATGTCTCGCTGGTACCACTCGCTAACTTTATGCAAGTTTCCACGCAACGATCAACCAATAAGAAAATGACTTTTAAGGTCAGCTTAGGCTATCAGCATAATGAGCACCACCCCCAAAACCTCCCACGGTCGATTGGACCAAGGCGTTCGTCAGGATCCAAATGATTGGCATAAAGTAGTGGCCGCATGAGGTCGCTGTTTGTGCTGTATTTTCAATGCACTGCACAGTGAGATTATGCACTGATTGTTTGACGCATACGGACGCATAATGACGAATGCCTTGATCAAGGCTATGTGTAACGTGAGACATCGACACAAACGTGTGTATATGCATGGATTCTACACATAAGGGTAAACGACTGTTCTGAGCTCTAGTACGAAATGCACTGAGCTGATTTTTAATGCATTGCAAAGCGTAAGCGAGGAAATGCCGCCGATCATTTACCACGTACGGACGGATAATGACAAACGCCTTGACCAAGGCTGTATTCCAATGAGACGGTCAAGTGGCATCCCCTTCTTCTCCTCCCCCCCGCCCCCCAAAAAAGCAGCTCAATCATAAACTTCCGACAACTAATTTCGTATTTTCTTTTGTTGTTAAATTTTTGTCATGAAGAAATCCTCTGCAGCCTTTTTTAAATTGCAAAGTAATAGGCCTATTCAAAGAATTTCCGCGAGTTCCCTCTTTAACTACGAGATCATACTACTTTTGTCAGTGGCTGCACTGGCTCTCAATCATTGTCTGGATGTTTCTTACCCAGCTTTGGAATACATGTGGCTGTCCCTCGATGTTGACTGTAATTTCCAGATACCAGGTTGTCATGTCGAAGGTGAGATTTCATGTTTGAAATCAGGCCAATCTTTCAGTTCGCCTAAAAGACAGTTTTTGGAAGGCGGCAAACATCATCCATGTGTCCCACCCACTTTAGTTGTTTCGTCAGCAATGTGACTTCAGTGCTTGGTAGAGTAACTGGGCGTGAGAGAGCATCTCATTGTATGTTATGTGGTCCTCCCAAGTGATGTTCATGATGCATGCACTAAGTAAGACTCGAGAATTATTCCTCTGTTTTTTTTACTTCCCATGTGTGCCTTTAAAAAATGGAAAAACACTGTACAAAGTCTCAGAAAGATTTGAATTTCCTTCTTTTTTGTGACTTCCCAGTTGCATTCCTGTACAAAATATTGATAGATTCTTGTAATAAATGTAGAAAGGAACATAGTCTGGTGTAAATTAAAATCCGAAAGCCCGGATATTTTGTGTGTTTCAATACTATATGCCGCAATAAGGCGAAAAACATTTGCAAGTTCATAACGATCACCTAAACTGCCAAACATGCAGTCAACAAGTGATTTGGAATTGGTACCCTACATTGAGAACAACCAAATGACAGCACTATTAAAGTCTGTTCCGACTAAGGATGTGAATCTACATTTAATTTGATAAACGTGTAGCAAAATTTAAACGTTTAGTCAACACTTCAAAAAGAATGCCGCCTGTGTCCCAGTATAATGTGCGGTAACTGCGGTCACATACCTACTTAGTATACACTTGTATACATTTTAACCACCATTTTTCCATGTTCTTTTTAAGTCTGCAGGCTAAATAAATTACAGGGGATTTCCGGATTTTAAGTCTAACGTCTGCGGAATTTTATGCGGATTCCGGATTTCCAACGTTTTCTGTTTCCGTAATATCGCCCAAAAACTTCTGGCGAAATATAGGCCCTAATTTACGATAATGGATGGACTGGTGACACAAGTCTAATAAGCAGTGCGGTCAAGAACCTGATAGACATCAATGCAGTGTGCGCAGTGGAGTACTTGAGGACCAGACTAAAAATAATTTTCAATGGGTTTGCTCCTCGTGTTTGTATATCGCGTGTGGATGTGTGTGTATTGTGCATGTATGTGACGATCGTGAGCTAGCAATTTGCAAACACATTGGTGTCAATATTGCCGCGATTTTGTCAAGGAATTTAAGAGTATGGTTGGAAGAACATATACTGTCACTGTGGAAAGAAATCAGTTTGAGCTGCAGTAGTGCTTTGAAAAATAGCCACCACCAACACAAAATTTCAAAAATGTTTTGGAAGCCTGGGACTGGAGTTTAAAGTAAGATTACTATAAACTTTTTAAGCATCGTTTATATTTTTTTGTGTGAATCGTTTCTTTCTCTCTGCAAACATGCAAAAGTAATAACATCACACACAGTAAAAGACATTATTGAATCAATCACGTATGGATTATATTATTTAATGACCACACATTTTTTCCTAATTTTTCCCTCATTTGTTTTCTTTACTGAAGCGACAAAATTTGCAAACATTACAGAAATTACAGTACATAAAATGTACATGCCCTAGGCCTATATATGGACATACGTGCATGTATATGTTTATATGTACATCTATACAAGTACATGTACATGTACTATTGTACTGTGGATTTTTCATTTTTGTCCAATCACACCCCTGAAATTAAGAAGAAACTTAAAAAAATGTCAAGGCCTGAGGAAGATCGTTTATTTGTATTTTTTTATTAGCTCCGAGTTTCTTTTTTAAAAAACACCTTTTATTTAACGAAAATGCAAACTGCATCCAAATTCCAAAATGTGAAAAACTTTGCTTGCACAAATTTCCCGAAAGCGGCAGCATTCTTGAGCTACCAGTTTTCTGCATGCTGCGAGAAAAATAATCACATACAAGATTTCTGGCTAT